TCTCACTTTAACTTCTTATCAAACTCTTTAAAATGATGCAGTCACACATTTCCCAGAGTTTGCTTCTATCCAGAAAGGAAACAAACTGAACCCACGGTGGGCATGAATGGCAGGAGATCAAACTTCTTTAATCAGCTTAAAGCCTCTCTGTCCTCCTGAGCGTGCAGCTACACGTCTACCTGCCTCACCTGCTTTTAGCGCTGCACAGCTGCAATTACTGGAAGCTGTGTGACACTGAGCTGCAGGACGTTCTCAGTTCTCGGGGATTAAAGGGAACCCTGCTGCTAACGTGACCTTAGAGCAAAAGGCAGCACCATTCCTCTCATCACAGCCGACATGCAGGTTGTTAAAAGCAGAAGTTAAAACTGCCCAAGGACTAAAAGTTGCAGATCTGCTGCAGCAGCAACGTAAACCTCAACCTCTGACAATGTTCAGTTATGCTTTATTGGAGAGACCAAAATAAGCACAGAGGAGCTGAAAGCAAAGGAAGAAGGTTCCATAAAACCTGTTTCTCATAAGTCCAGGTTAGAAGTTCTGCAGGAGCCTGTTGGCATTCATTTGATTTCAGCAACCAAACATCTGAAACAATCCAGACTGGAAAAAAACTAATTCTACTGAATATGAAATCATATTTTACACAGAAATCAATCTCCTGCTTCCAGCATTTCATCTCTATGCAGAGCAGCGGATGACAGAAATGCAGGAAAACAACCAGGTGAGACCCATAAGGTAGAGGAGGCAGCGAAGAGAAGAACAATTCTGCTCACCAAACCAGAACCGGTTCCTTCTGTAACATCTGGATTCCTGGCAGGTTTCAAAAACCAGAAAAAGAGCAAACGACGCTCAACGCAGATTAACCGCAGTTTTTATGTGAGTTACAGGCATCGTAATCTACCGATTCTGATTTAATGGATTATAATCTGAAGCCAATCATTCTTCCTGTGAGGTTTGGAAACAGGACACTTAAAATGAACTGAAACTGATTTATGATTTGAAGCTGAGTTCATATTCTGCAGTGGAGGATGTTGTTTTTCTAGATGGATCATTTCAATCAGTGGTCCTCCTAAGTGTCAATCATTCTGGTGATATGTTTACGTAAGGCCGTCCTACGCGCTCGTCCCCATTTTCACTGAGCGCTGCTTAGTCTGACATAGTGGAAAAATTCATTTAAATCATCTTCTGAAAAGTAAACCTGTATGAACGATGCAAGCAGCAACTTTTAAACAGAGCGTGCACGAGGAGAAATGGGCTCGTGCACGCTCTTGCACGTGTTTAACAGGCGTTCCTTCTCGGGAGCGGGTACAGGGTTGTGCATGTGCATTTTTTTTTTACTGGAGAGGGCAGGTCTTTTAAAAAACTTGTGAAAATCCTCCCCTGTAGCTTTAATCCTTAGAAACCTGCAGACTCTGGATTGAAGCTGGAGGCAAACAGGAGGAAAGGGGAGGAGCTAAAGGTCTGCATGATACGCTCAGGTCCAGAGGAGACGTCTCCACTCATGGTATGATGACGTCTTTGTTTTGTAAAAGAATAAATCATGAATGCAGTCTCTAAAGTGGCCCCTAACCCACTATGAGCTGCAAATAAAAAGGAATTCTAGATGATGAGAGATTGTTGCAGGCGACACGTTTCCATCTCTTCTTAGATCCTCTGTTTGGCCTCATCCAGACCGTCTGGAAATGTTTTCTTCAGGTTTCTCTAACCGACGTTCTACAGACGCACAATTCAGACGTTTTCAGGCTTTAAATAGTCCTGAAGTTGGACTGATTCTGACACACCAGCTCAGAGTTGCATAATACGCTGCGTCTGCTTTCATAAGCCCAGCTGGACTTCATTTGCTTTGATTTACTGCTCCTCGAAAAAATGGAGTAAACTGTCCAGCCTGAAACCCTGCAAATCAGGAAATATGACATCTCTCTGACGTCTGACCGATAAACCAGAGAACAAACTCTGACGGACAGAAAGGAACCAAATTATCTATCAGATTATGTCTTTACTGTTTAGATTCTGCATGTAAAGCTGTTAAGGTGTGTGTGGACCAAAACAATCCACAGGCCCACGGCTCCATGCTCCGCCTCTTTGGTGACTCATCGAGTTTTTTCCTGAGGCGCCTCGCCTGTGAAATCCCACCGGGTAGAAATTAAAGCCAGACGTTCGTCTCTTTACCAAAACCGCAAGAATAAATACCTGAATTAATCACATTGTTTCATAAAATAGAAGCAGGGCGAGAAATATGGGAGACGTAGAAAGTTAGAAAACAAGAACCTGGGCTACAGAACAGCGGGGAAATAAACCTGATGGGCATGTTCATGTGAAATTATACAAATGGGACAGAAAACTTATTATTAACCTCCAAACTTTACCGGCTGTATCTTTCATATTTAGATTCCTCTCACTGTAAATATCAGTGTAGGAGGAAAGATTGACCGATTGACTTTATTGATCTCAGTGGAGAAGTTTACTGGTTATGTCAGATCAAACAGACCAAGCAAAGTTCTAACAGGAGAAAACTTCCTGCTGCTTGTTTCAGTCTCTACCAGCAGATCCGTACCTGGGAGTAAAATCCGGAAATACTTTTGGAACAAACAATAAAAGGTAGCCGTGCAGATCGAGGACGGTTCAGTCTGCAGGGTTCGCCGTGCAGATCGAGGACGGTTCAGTCTGCAGGGTTCGCCGTGCAGATCGAGGACGGTTCAGTCTGCAGGGTTCGCCGTGCAGATCGAGGACGGTTCAGTCTGCAGGGTTCGCCGTGCAGATCGAGGACGGTTCAGTCTGCAGGGTTCGCCGTGCAGATCGAGGACGGTTCAGTCTGCAGGGTTCGCCGTGCAGATCGAGGACGGTTCAGTCTGCAGGGTTCGCCGTGCAGATCGAGGACGGTTCTGTCTGCAGGGTTCGCCGTGCAGATCGAGGACGGTTCAGTCTGCAGGGTTCGCCGTGCAGATCGAGGACGGTTCTGTCTGCAGGGTTCGCCGTGCAGATCGAGGACGGTTCTGTCTGCAGGGTTCGCCGTGCAGATCGAGGACGGTTCTGTCTGCAGGGTTCGCCGTGCAGATCGAGGACGGTTCAGTCTGCAGGGTTCGCGGTGCAGATCGAGGACGGTTCAGTCTGCAGGGTTCGCCGTGCAGATCGAGGACGGTTCTGTCTGCAGGGTTCGCCGTGCAGATCGAGGACGGTTCAGTCTGCAGGGTTCGCCGTGCAGATCGAGGACGGTTCAGTCTGCAGGGTTCGCCGTGCAGATCGAGGACGGTTCAGTCTGCAGGGTTCGCCGTGCAGATCGAGGACGGTTCAGTCTGCAGGGTTCGCCGTGCAGATCGAGGACGGTTCAGTCTGCAGGGTTCGCCGTGCAGATCGAGGACGGTTCAGTCTGCAGGGTTCGCCGTGCAGATCGAGGACGGTTCAGTCTGCAGGGTTCGCCGTGCAGATCGAGGACGGTTCTGTCTGCAGGGTTCGCCGTGCAGATCGAGGACGGTTCTGTCTGCAGGGTTCGCCGTGCAGATCGAGGACGGTTCTGTCTGCAGGGTTCGCCGTGCAGATCGAGGACGGTTCTGTCTGCAGGGTTCGCCGTGCAGATCGAGGACGGTTCTGTCTGCAGGGTTCGCCGTGCAGATCGAGGACGGTTCTGTCTGCAGGGTTCGCCGTGCAGATCGAGGACGGTTCAGTCTGCAGGGTTCGCCGTGCAGATCGAGGACGGTTCAGTCTGCAGGGTTCGCCGTGCAGATCGAGGACGGTTCAGTCTGCAGGGTTCGCCGTGCAGATCGAGGACGGTTCTGTCTGCAGGGTTCGCCGTGCAGATCGAGGACGGTTCAGTCTGCAGGGTTCGCCGTGCAGATCGAGGACGGTTCAGTCTGCAGGGTTCGCCGTGCAGATCGAGGACGGTTCAGTCTGCAGGGTTCGCCGTGCAGATCGAGGACGGTTCTGTCTGCAGGGTTCGCCGTGCAGATCGAGGACGGTTCAGTCTGCAGGGTTCGCCGTGCAGATCGAGGACGGTTCAGTCTGCAGGGTTCGCCGTGCAGATCGAGGACGGTTCAGTCTGCAGGGTTCGCCGTGCAGATCGAGGACGGTTCAGTCTGCAGGGTTCGCCGTGCAGATCGAGGACGGTTCAGTCTGCAGGGTTCGCCGTGCAGATCGAGGACGGTTCTGTCTGCAGGGTTCGCCGTGCAGATCGAGGACGGTTCAGTCTGCAGGGTTCGCCGTGCAGATCGAGGACGGTTCAGTCTGCAGGGTTCGCCGTGCAGATCGAGGACGGTTCTGTCTGCAGGGTTCGCCGTGCAGATCGAGGACGGTTCTGTCTGCAGGGTTCGCCGTGCAGATCGAGGACGGTTCTGTCTGCAGGGTTCGCCGTGCAGATCGAGGACGGTTCAGTCTGCAGGGTTCGCCGTGCAGATCGAGGACGGTTCAGTCTGCAGGGTTCGCCGTGCAGATCGAGGACGGTTCTGTCTGCAGGGTTCGCCGTGCAGATCGAGGACGGTTCAGTCTGCAGGGTTCGCCGTGCAGATCGAGGACGGTTCAGTCTGCAGGGTTCGCCGTGCAGATCGAGGACGGTTCTGTCTGCAGGGTTCGCCGTGCAGATCGAGGACGGTTCTGTCTGCAGGGTTCGCCGTGCAGATCGAGGACGGTTCTGTCTGCAGGGTTCGCCGTGCAGATCGAGGACGGTTCTGTCTGCAGGGTTCGCCGTGCAGATCGAGGACGGTTCTGTCTGTTCAGGCTGGAGGAACTACAGACCCTCTTGTTTGGGATCCAAAACCAGTTGGAGACCAAAAGCAGGTCTGAGCTCAGGAAGACACTAAGGAAATCAGGGTCTTACTTTTTATCCTGCATTTCAGCTGCAGAGGTAGGTAATGAGGGCCATTACGAGACCATCTATCAGCGGCATCAGGGGCCCATTATTCCACCTGCTGACTATTGGGGCCCCTGATATGCTGCAGACCTAGAGTTCATCAACTAGAAGAATTACAGAAGATATCAGACCGACAGGAAGACTGACCTTATTAGGTCTTACTCACCGGTACGTCGATCTTAATGAGAGCAATGTCTGCCTTCTCATCAATATCTTTGATCTTAGCGTCATATGTGGCACCGCTCTTTAGCTCCACCTGCAGGAGAATGAAAGAAACTGCTGTTAATTACACACGGATGGATGGATGGATGGACGGATGGATGGATGATGGATGGATGGATGGATGGATGGATGGATGGATGAATGGATGGATGGACGGACGGATGGATGGAGGGACGGACGGACGGACGGACGGACGGATGGATGGAGGGACGGATGGAGGGACGGATGGATGATGGATGGATGATGGACGGATGACTGATGGATGGATGGTGATGAAGTCTCCATCATCTGTCATTCTGCCTTCAGATGTCGTTTCATTTCCAGGATCTTTGCCTACCTTCACCCTGTGCTTGTTGGCGACCACGTGTGCGTTGGTGACGATCAGTCCGTCCTCAGAGACAACAAAGCCAGAGCCGCTGGCCACGGCGACCTCCCTCTTAGAGAACATCATCCTGAGGAGAAAATGGTCAGAAAGGGTCAACATCCTGACAGGATCATTCATTGGGACGTTTCAAACCTTTTTTCTCTCTTACTTGCGGAAGAGTTCAATGTGAACAACAGCAGGAGCGATTTTCTCCACCACGTCAGCGATAAAGTTGTATTTGTAGCGAAGACTGTCGGGGTTCTGCTGAGCTGAAAGAGAACAGGATCAGTTAGCGGCCTCATGGCGTTGGGTTTGGCTTCAGACGAGGACCACAGAGGAAGCTGTGATAGATGTGCTGCTGGGTTGCCAGGTTGGAAGTATAAACAAGAGTTATCGTAGATTCAGATGGCTGCACATGGACCCAAACAGGAGACCAAACATGGGACGAGTGAGCAGCTGTGGTTCATGAAGCGAAGCTGATGTGTTTCTGCTTCTCCCTCAGAGCTTCAGGAGGTAATCAGTAACATGTCCAACACTGGAGCAGGTCTGTTCTCCTCTCACTCATCTTTGTTCCTGACCTAAAACATCTGGAAGTGATCTCTTTTCTTTCACTGATGTTAAGACTTTCCTTTCCAATTAGATCCAGTCAGACATTTCTGTGCTGCAAACATTCCCCCTGAGCAGGCTGATGTAGCTACGCTAACGCTAGCTACGCTAACGCTGACCTTTAGACTCAGATGAGATGTTCTGATGGCTGTTGGCTGAAAGAAAGACTAAGGGACATTCCAGCTGCTTCCAGATCTCATTACAGGAAATCCCTCCTTTCTGTTGTCATGGCAACCACCACGCCTCATTTCAGTGCTGTTTAGGCGCTGCTGGGACCTTTAGCTGCCCCAAGCAGCTCCTCAATGACTTCAGGTTTCCTTTTCTGCTTCCTGGTCTGCAGCGGCACTTTGGGCTCAAACAGGAAATGGATTCAAGCTAAAGGTCAGATCCATCATCTGGACTCCACCCTCCTGCGATCTGTGGTCAATCAGCTCCGAGTCGCTGATCCAAACACTTCCTGCTGCAGTCAGATCAGTTCTGGAAAACATCCAGGTTTGTATTCAGGAGAGAATATGCAAAGAGATCAAGTGCGGTCAGGTGCAGTAAGGTGTGTGAAACGGCCTCCGCATTTCTAACTGGTTCAACTGAAGGATCTGAGTCCAGCTGATCCAGCTGGAATAAACAGTTGATAAACAAACTGAAGAGATGCAGTCAGAAAACAGCCTGTTCAGGATGGTGACTGTGACTCCATCCTGGAGAGAAATATCAGCTGTGCTGCTGCCATCAACACCTTTGTTTCTAGATGTTGGAGCTTGGCCTGTTTTCCAGTGTAGTCCTGTTTCTCTGACTGTGACTAACTGGATGTGCTCTCTTCATCCTCTGACATGGGAGCTGGCTCGGAGCTCGTCTGCCTGGCTGTGTGTTTCCTGGACGGGGCCGCCTGTGGAGCTGGTTGACAGTTGCCTTTTGTATCTATGCTTCTTTTTCTATGTCTGCTTCTGTCTCCTTGAACCCCAGTGGGCCTCAGCAGATGGCCGCTCACACTGAGCCTGGTTCTGCTGGAGGTTTCTTCCTGTTCAAAGGGAGTTTTTCCTCTCCACTGTCGCTACAAGCATGCTTAGTGTGAGGGATTGCTGAAGAGTCAATGAGTCGATGCAATCAGCTGGTTTTCCCTAGATAGAAAACTTTGAATCAATCTGACTGGATGATCTGGTGAACTGGAAAGTGACCTGAGATGACATGATGGGAATTGGAGCTATAGAAATAAACTGAATAGAACTGAACTGAATTCAGCAACCTGTTTGGCAGCCTGAGCAGCTGCAGCGTGTTGGGAGATGAGGAGCTTTGAGCTTTTCTAGGATCTAAGAAGGAATCAAAAACTCCACTTTCCCATTAAACTCATTTCCTGCAGATCTTCTGGTATAGAATCCGTTTGGCTCCTAAATGAGGAGAGTCTATGAAAAAAAATTTTTTTTTAATTTGTCCCTTAATCCAAACAGCTCTGCACACGGAGAAGGACTGAGGAAACATCCTGATGTCCAGATCTAGGATAAATAGAATCTGACCTGCATCTGTCTCTGTTTATGGAGTTACAGCAGATTTCTGTCTGTGACCTTAAAGCAAAGATCAGCAGTGAAACATGGAGAAGCAGAGGATGCCTTGGCTGACTTTGACCATGTCTGACTCAGAGAATCTGTCTGCCTCAGCATGTCGGTGTGTTTGCAGCTGCAGCGTCTCTGGGATGTGTGAGTCTTGCATGACTTGCAGCTCTGGAAGCCACACAGGGGCGGCTACCAGCCACAGCTCACGGCATCCACACATTATGACCCTGTTAAGATAACATGGAGGGCGTGAGCGTGGAGCTGGAAAACGGCCCGCTGTAGAGTTAGCTGCAGAGCCAGGCGCCGCTCCGGGGAGGGGGCGGCGGGGGGACCAGGAACAAAGAACTGGTGTTTGGGAAGCCCCCCCCCCCTTAGGTCACATTTAGGATGAACTAGAGCCGTGCTGCAACTTCTGGATTTTTACATCTGATATATTTATGAAAACATCGACTAATTAATGATGATGAAAACTGCCGACTACGGATGGAGGATGAACTGAGCTCCTGATCGTCTTTCTGCTGCTCTAATCGATACGTTTATATAAACTGCAGACGTAACTCATCTGCTGTTTGCAGAAGAGGTTGCATAATGAGGCAAACATGTGCATAGATGCTGCAAACCAGGAGACAACGGTTTGTGTTTCTAGGATTTGTATATCTATCAGCGGCTAAACTTTCTGAAGGACTGGTGTGGACTTTGGCTCTCATGGGACACATTTCTAAATTTGATTTTGCTGCTTTTGAAGGAAGATAATCCCTGATGGAGCTGAAAGGGAAAACATCCAATCAATCAATCCACATTTTTCTGGATGAATGAAAGTGAAATTCTGTCCATACTAGGGAGGCATGAGATTTTGCTGTTGGCATTGGAATCGGCTGCAACTTATCCGCTTATTTTTATACATTAATGTCAAACTGTCAGGGTTTGGTTGAGGTTTTGAGGACTCAAATGCAGAGGCGACGAGGCAGAGTTGAGTTCTTGGAGATTTAATTAAAAAACTGAGGCAGAAATTCCAAAAACTAAAGTACTAAATACAAGGAACCAAAAAACACTAAACTTCATGGGAAAAACTCACCTGGAGAGGCTGGAAAAGACGAGGAACCAGCACTGAGGAACTGGACAGGGAGAGTTTATATGGGAGACCGAACAAAGACTGGACTAATGAGCTGATTGGGAGCAGGTGTGAACAGAGGAGGCTAGAAGGAGCTAGGAGGAAAGGAGACCACAAGAGGGCAGCAGAGGGCAGCCTAGAAAAACCTAAGAACTCAAATAGATCCAGAAAACACCACAAAATAGGAATTAAACCAGTGGCGGCCGGCCCATAGGGGGCGCTGGGGCACCGCCCTCCCTGATAAGAAGAGAGAAACGTAAAATATATTTTTAGAAATTAACTCATAAATGTCAGTTTTACTCTCTAGACTGTGTAACTATAAGCAAAACAAATTATATAAACTACATTTCCCTATCTACTGTCATTAATTTGTGGATTTCCACAGACAGACTCCTACCGTCTCTGTTCTGGGGGCGCTGATCAGACTGACCCACATTTGCAGAGAATCTGTCAATCATGTACTATTGCTAGGTGAATTTAATGGCCAATCAGCGTCTCGGAACTTTATGGTCTTGGGGCGCTGAAAATACTGCGCTTTAACAGGCTTCTGAACCCAAGCTCAGGTGCAGACAGTTAGAGGGAAGATGGCGAATGTAACGAGCGAGATGCAGCTTCCACCAAATTCGGTGAGATCCTTATTTATCTACCCGTTTGCCAGAAGAACATCCCTGTTGTAGGATATGAACATTTCATGTCATGGTTATTGTGACTGTGACGAATCCACCTCGTCGCTTAAAACAACCTCTCTAACTTTGCGCGCCACACACACATTCCTGTTATACTGTGTTTGTGAGGACCAATACACTCGCGCTGAGACCAGTAGCTCCATGAACTTAAAACACACAAGCTGTCCTGGTTACCTGCTGGCGTATTGAGGGTGCACACTTAATATTTCAGTGGGGTTAGCCGTGTGTGTGTGTATGTGTGGGTGTGTGGGGGGTGTGGGTGTGTGTGTGTGTGGGGGGGGGGGTGTGGGTGTGTACGTGTTTATGCGGGGACTTGTCATCTTCAGTCTGGCTGCGTCTTTGCTGGGTTCAAACCCAGTTTGGTGTAATTGAATAAGTCAATGAATCTGTGTAAAAGAATTAAGTTGTAAAAATTATTTGTTTTTGTACATCAATTGTTTGTGGAGGTAATATATGGACAAAACTGATTAATGAGAAGAAATCAGAAATAAGAGAGCCTGAGGTGAGGGGCTTAAACTATTTAATGAGGGCTGTGGGAAGAAAAGCGGCCATTTTTGTTTTCTGTTTCTTTGTTCCATTGCTGGTAACTGGAGGGAGGCTGAGGCCCAGAGGATCTTGTATATGTTTAGTTTCTTTTGCACCCTGTTTTGAGTTTTTGAGCTCAATAAATCACCAACACCGGTAACCCGACTGAGCCTGGATTCTTGGAGGCCAAAGAACCCCGTCACAGTGACCCAAATCATCACTGTTACTGTTATTATATAGTAAATTAAATCATTACTGTTAAATTGTATGTATTGTCCAATTGTTTATTTGAATTCTTATTCCGGGTTAGTTGGAGACATACACTAGGCTATATCAGCCCCACCAAAAATATTTTTCACCAGCCGCCACTGAATTAAACCAATAAAACTAGAAAACAAAAACAGGGATCAAAGTGAAAACTCAAAAGAAAACTAAAACAGAACCAAGACCGTGACACAATCTGCCCATAAATATAAATATCAGTGTATTTTAGTCTGTTCCCAACAATAGGAAAGAATTCAATAAATAGATGTTCGAGCTCAATTTATGGAAAATATAAAACCTATTGCAAGCGTTTGTGTCGAGTAACTGTTGGTCTATCAGCCCCCACCCTCAGAGCCCCCCCCCCCCCCAACCCTCTTTCATCACTAAGTTACTCCCTTGGTATCTGAGCAGGGATGACCATTAAACCCAGAAATGATCAGGAGAGAATGGAGAAGGTTGATCAGGATGTTCTCCTGCCAACAGGCTGCAGCTGCTCTGACTGGATGTTTTCAGGCTTAGATGAAGCTCCAGCTGAGATGACCTGAAGTTTGTTTTGTTTTTTTCAGGAACCTGTCAGACTTTGCCCACACAGACACCGCAGCTCCTCATAGCTCAGCTGTTTCTACTTTATCTGGTTTGAACCAGCTGCTGATTCAGCAATAAACCAAAGCTGGACATAAACAGTCCAACAGGTTCAAGTTCTGCATCAAACAGACTAGATTCAGGAACAGTTCTAATCGTTTCTTATTCCCACAGTAAAGATAAAAATCATCTTTAAATCAGAAAAAGTGAAGAGGAAGAAAGTTGGAGATGATTCTTCTGTTTCTAATGTTATTTGTGGAACTTTTCTCCCTGTTTTCAGACTCTTTCCTTTATTCCTTCCTCCTAACTTTCCTGTCCTCCTAAAGACGCACCCTGACCATCCTCCCGCACCCACCGCCTCCTCTCACCCTTCCCGCAGGCTCCTCTCTGGATGAAGATGATGGGCGGCTGCTGCAGCTTCATGGCCCGGTTGCTGACGCGCCTCAGCTCGCAGATGTTCCGGTAGGACACCCCGTCGCTGCCGCACACCGGCTCGGAGCTGCTGCACGCGCACACGCCGGCTTTGCCCCTCCGCCTCACGGTGGCGGACGCCCCCACGCCGTCGGTCACCAAGCACTCCATCCCCTCTGCGCAGTCCGGGTCCCCGGCGCCGCCGCACGGCTCGCCCTCCCCGGAGGCGCACACCGGGCAGCAGCCGCAGCGGTCCAGCACGTCCCCGGCCAGGCAGTCTGCGGGGATCTGCGGGCACTGAGACCTGTCGCAGCTCTCCGGACAGTCGATGGCGAAGCGTTTGGCGATGCGCGCCTCGGCCAGCAGGAGCTGCGCCATTACGCACAGGAGAACCAGGAGCTGCATGGCGGGAGGCTCCAGCAGAAGAGAGGAGAACCCAGAGGAGGAGAAGAAGGCTGCAGAGGATGATTGGAGGAGCTCAGAGGAGCATCAATGGAGAGACAGACAGCCACACACTCCCATTTATAAAGGATGCAGAATCAAAGCTGGGAGTGATTGGTGGAGAGAAGTGACGTCAGTCATTAGGAGGGGCTGTAAACAGCAAAGAGAAGGCCTCCTTCAGTCTCCTCTGTCTTCCAGGAAGCACAGCTGGACGCTCTTCTCTTCACTGCCTGGTTCTATTTATCCACCAAAGTTTCTTCATAAAGTCTGAAGAGAAAAAGTCCTGCTAGATAAACTGAACATTCAAGCTTTAATCTCACAGGTGAAGGAATGTGTGACGCTTTCAATGCAAAACAAGTTTATTTCTACAGAACAATTCAGTGTAAGGAAAAATAAAAGCAAATAAAGATAAAACACAATAAAGCAGGAAGTAAAGAAAATCAAACAGGTGGACGATAACCTTAAACTAATAATACCTTAGTTAGTAGGCAGATTTACCATCAGGCAATACTAGGCAGCTGCCTGGGGCCCCAAGCTCCTGGGGGCCCCAATAAAACTCTGCTTATATTTATGGTTAATACAACTATCCCTTATTTGTTCACATTAATGATGTTTTTGATAAAATCCTAAAATGCCATCAGAACGCTGATGATATTAAATGTCTCTCAGCCCCGAAGATCTACGTCTCAGAGGTAGATCGACTGAAAATAGATCTGTTATGGATTGAAGTGCTGATCTAATCAGTCATTTCTAGACTAACACAAGGATTTTAAAGTCTATTCTCTGAGCTACAGGAAGCCAGAAGAAGGACTTCAGAACCGGGCTGATGTGATCTACTTTCTATAGTTCTAGTGAGGACGCAGGCAGCAGCGTCTGGATCAGCTGTCTGATCTACTTTCTATAGTTCTAGTGAGGACGCAGGCAGCAGCGTCTGGATCAGCTGT